TTTTAATTTCAACATTAAAATTACTTTGCACATGGACTATTCAAAACAAATGCTCAATATACTCATAGACAAATCTTTATTTTATTTTATTAAAAATACTTCACTAAGAAATATGACTTTTTGTATGTGAAAAACTTGTAATATTAACTGAAAAACTGCCAAATTTCGTGAAGATATACCCAATTTATTGAGTTATAAGTATTAAATTTATATCAACTTTAAACGAGTACAAAAGGTCACGTGACTTGGTCAGATTGACCACCCTCGTGTTGAGGGAGTTAAGCCCAGTGATATTTAGTATTTTTATCAATGATTGGGAAGATGAATGGATCACAAGGAATGTTGGGGAAACCATTACTGGAAATAAAAAAACTTACTGATTTTAAATTTGCAGATGACATTGTTGCACTGGCCAACTATAGAATTGCTACCAATTTCACAAGATATCACAAATATGATGACTTCTCAATTTCTACAAGGGAGATGGATTGACTAATTGAAGAAAACCAAAGCAGTACTGAATCAGAAAGAATGCATGCAACTAAATATAGAAATTGAGAAAATCTAGTAGAAAACAAATCAGTAAAGGAATCAAAGAGTTAAAATTATCCTAATATTTCTTATGTGGAGTTACAGAATCTTTAAATTCTGGAAGTACTAAGTTAGTACAGTATTCGTTTGACACAATGACCAACCAAGAATAACAGAAGGTTGGTCAGCTCATTACTAAACCCAATGTTGTCATGTGGCTAGATGTAATTAATTGAATTTTTTTAGTAAAAAGTTCATTATGCAGGGGGGGGGGGAGTAATGAAGTGAGATTACTAAGTTTGCAACACAATACCTGCTATAATGTCATGTCTTATGGTTATGCACTTAAAACATGCCAGCTGTTTCATCTCTGTAGATTTTGCTGACTGTTCACATTTGCACATGTGCTACTTGATCACAAGCTCCTGTAATAGATCAGAATTCCCCTTCTCCCTCTTCTTTGTGATGGGATTTAAGTTCTTGTATGTGAATGATTTAGTTTAGATGCATTATTTGAACTTGAATAATGTTATCATATTTGCTCTTTATACTGTTGGCTGTTTTCGGTGAATCAAAACTGTACTAATATTATTTATCAAAGCTTTCTGCTAGGGGACATTTGTATAAAAGTAGGTTAAGCATCAATGGATACATATGTAATTTGGCATGTAACAAATGCTGATTATTGAAATATGCTTTCCTTCTCAAGTTCTGAGTCATTAGGGTTAACCTTGAATGTAACCTCCATAAGAGTTTAGTTGAATAGTCACAGTTATAACATAACATCACAAAACTTCTTGTTTCATTCAATGCTGCCATATTCAAAGTCAAACATTTTCTTCTTGCAAGCAACAGCAATCCATATCAATACAAGCTTCAGTAAAGCTTTTACATTCTGTTCATATCACATAATCATTGCCTTTTTCAAAATATATAAATTCAAATATCCATAATTATTCCGGTCATCAATATATCTTTCTTTATGTATGTTGCCGAGATGACTTACAGCATCAGATAAAACAATATTAAAAGATTAATTTGTCATTTTTTAACCTATGACACACCTAAGCACTTGCTTTGCAATATGGCAGAGTAAATTATGGACCACGTAACTTTTAATGTCAGTACAAAACCTCTTGCAGCTTGTGTAACAGTGCATGAAATATATAAAATACTAGAATATCTGTGTTTAAATCTATAATAACTATAACATGCTTTATCTTTTTTATGTGCCTGACTTCAACAAGTAAGCAACTTTTCACTTGCCCCATCAAAATTTTTACCTACCTCAGGCCTGTTGGGCAATATAATTTTCAACATCAAAAGATGAAAGAAAATACACAAGTAAAATGTTTTATGAAAGAGACTAATGTACACAGATATCATTAACAAAACCCTAGTAGAAATAAATTACTTTTGCAAATTTAGTGTTTTAAATTATCATGGATACTAACCAAATACAAGAGTTGACTTGTATCTATCAAAATGTAAAGTTTTCAATAAATGAAATAAATTCAATCCTTAATAACAGAAATGAATACAGGTTTATGAACTTTGTTTCTACTCACCAACATTTGTTTCTTCAGCATCTTTGTCTGAAACAACTTTTCCATCACTACATTTTTGTTTCTTGTTTTCTTTCTGCAGGCTGCTAAGAATGGATAAGTTTCCTACATCTTTCTCTAGCTCATCCAACGAAGACTCTGAGGAATGTCGACCTCGCTTCTGAATAAAAGCTTTACAAACTTTTTCCATACATGGTACATCAACAATGTTTTCAGGAAGTCTCTGCAGAATAACCTGAGGGTTTGATGACAACTTATTATATCCACAAAGAGATTCTTTGATACTCAGATTATCAGTGTTATCATCTTTGACTGAAGAATTATCTGTGTAGTGGGAAATGATTTCTTGATTGTCATTTATCTTGTTGTTTACAGTATCATGATCTGTAAAATCATCATTACTATTTGAATTGTGATCACCTCTACATGTTTTTATGCCATCTGTGAATACATTGCACTGATGAGACTTAACATCTGCAAAATCAAAATCATCACTGGAGGGCTTGACATTTAAATCTTTCAACAATAAATCTCTTGTTTTCTCATTATCTGTTGATTCTTTGTTGAGTTCATCTATACCGATTTTGTGTTGTGAAACTTCACTTTCTGTCTTTTCTTCAGATGTTTCTAAAGACCTACCATGTAGAGTTATTTTAGTCTTTACACACTGAGCCTTTTTATTTTTCATTTCTTTTTCTTCATTACATTTAATATACATTTTTACAGATGACTGTTCTGTACCAGAACTAACTCCACTTTTAACATCTTCAAAATCTTCCTTGCCACCTTCATTTGGTGATTCCATAACTAAGGCTGTACTTTTTGAAAAAAATGTTGATTTGTCTGATATATCTTTAATCTTAATACCTTCAGCTCTTATCATATTATCTCTATCTTTTTTTCCCTGTTCTTTAGTTGATTTAACATTTTCATAACCTACTTCATGCATTTCAACTAATATTTTGTTATTATCGATAGATTCTATTTCTTTTAATTCTTCTGTGTGATTTGTATTTTGCTGTTCTACTTTTGATTCAACAATTTCTCCTTGTAGTTCTGGTGTATGCAGTACATGTTTAGTAGCTTCACCTTTTGTTGGATATTTTTGGCCAACTTCACTTGGTTGTTCAGCAAATGATTCTGCAGTTTTGCATTGTGATTTTAGTATTTCTGGTAATTTTTTTTCCTCACACTTAACTAAAGGTTCTTCTATGTCTTCATCAAAGAGCTCCAGTGTTTCTGAAAACTCTTTATTAATCTTACTATTTTCACTTTCTGCTGAATTTTCTTCTCTCTTTTTAGTTACTGGTTCACTAACTAATTTTTGATTTTCACACTGTAGTTCCTGTGTGGGAGCTACCTCATTATTAATGCTAGTAGTTTCAACATCTGTTGATCTTGTTTCTCTCTCTTTTTTTATTGATTCACCAACTAATTCTGTATTTTCATATTGTAAGTCCAATAATGCTCTATTAATCTCCGTAGTTGATGAACTTTCTTCCCCCTCTTTATTTACTGGTTTCCTAACTGATTCTGGATTTTCACACTGTAGATGTAATTCATGTGTAGCTTCATCTCCTTCTTCACCATTTTTGTTATCTAGTTCACTATAATGTAAATTGTCTGATAAACTTTCATTAATTCCAGTAGCTATATCTTCTGCTAAAACTTGTGGTTTCTTAATTAATTGTACATTTTCATAACATGTGTCTAATAGTTTTTCAATATTCTTACACTTAGCTTCATTTTCAATTGAAACTTCATAATTATCTTCACATAGTGGCTCCTTAAAAGAGTCTCCACTACCACACTGTGGATTCAACTGGTCTGTTAGTCCAGAGTCTCCACTACCACACTGTGGATTCAACTGGTCTGTTAGAAAAGAGTCTCCACTACCACACTGTGGATTCAACTGGTCTGTTAGTCCAGAGTCTCCACTACCACACTGTGGATTCAACTGGTCTGTTAGTCCAGAGTCTCCACTACCACACTGTGGATTCAACTGGTCTGTTAGTCCTTCTTTAAACACAGCTGTTTTATCTTTTATATTTTTGGTTTTATCAAACCCTTCGTTTTGGAGGTCCATTTCTGATTTACTATCAGAAGCAATATTTTCAGTTAAAAAAAGGAAGGATTTTCCACTCAAAATCTCAGATTGATGAGCTAGGTGGTTCTTATGAGCTAAGTAACTGGCTTGGATATTATTTAATACCATTTCTACATTATGTATATGAATTTTCAGAACATCTTGAATTCGTCTCACACCATCATCTACAGCTGTAGGCTCTGATGCTTTTCGCTCATATTTCTTTCGTACCTTTAACAAATCTTCCATGGTCATAGTAAGAGATAAAAGTCCTTGGGCAAAGTTATCTTCCAGCCATGATTCTGAACCTGTTATTAAAGTTTGTTCATTCAACAATCTTGTGAAAATAAGCTCTATTTTCTTGAAAATGTTTTTAGATTGAAAATCTGATTTCTTTTCACTTTTATCTTTCACATCATCCTTCTGTTGCTGTGCATATTCTTTAACCATAGAACAAAAGGAAACCAATCCAGACAATGGCTCAGAATTGCACACATAGCACTGCCAACTTGCTGCTACTGTTGCTTTTGAGAGTTCACTTGGTCCAAAGTTCCGATTAATACATTCTTTACAAAAAGCATTTTCACAGAAATCACAAAGGATGAGATTTCCACCATCACCACACCATCGACAATACTCATCAACTCCAGTCTCATCTTTTTGAAAAATACCTGCTCCATAATACTTGAAACATTTCTATATATAAAAAAAAAGTATTTATAATTAAAAAATATATTCATAAACATGTAAATATATTTGTAACGTTAATAAATGAAATATACAAATCTTCTATCTACAAATTGTAGTAAACAGATCTGAAAGAAAAAGTTTTAAATATATTTTCCCTGAATATATGCTCTTTTTCTAGGATTTCACTATAAAAAAACGATCATTCCCTGACCTGAACATGTCAAAATTATTAAAAACCAAATGAAATGTTTGTTTGTGTTTATGCAACTCATTTTGTTCAAATTGTAATAATATAAAATACCAAATAAGCAAAGAATGAAATAGAAAAAAAAAAAGGAACCAAGAAAGAGACTATGAAACAAGCCATTAAAAGAAATTTATTTCAAATAACAGCATTTTACTAAACATAACAATAACAAATTTTTCATCATTTACACAAAAACTAAACATTTTCCAACTTCACTTTTAATAACAAATGATAAAGCTATGCATCTTTACCCTAAATACTGTACTTTGGCCAGAGTTAAAAACTCCTGTAGTGGTAACCAAAATTAAAACATATTTATTGAACATATTTCAACTTGCCAACATGTCAGCTTGCACCTGATTGGTTGCTGAATATGCATCACAACATATCAGCCAAACAAAGATTCACATTTATATTGTTACTTATGCCACTAATACTGTTGAGTCCATGAAAAGTGTTGTATATCTCATGGTTTTCCCAAACAACTGCATTCCATTATCTTCATGTTTTCTCTGTTTACTGCAGCAATTCCACCTAACAAAGAACTTTTCAAAGAACTGAAAACCCTGTTAGTTACATAAACCTTTATACTTCAATGTGGTATAGAGCATCTAAGTTTTCTTGTATCTAAAACATTAATTGTTCTGAATAATCTTATTTATTTTCAAGTGTGTGTCACCTGTATGCCATCACAGGGTATGATGATTACAAGTAAAATAATGAGCCAGTTTTTTAAGAATTTTATTTACTTTAAATATAAAAGGCAAAATTAATAAGAAGACAAGGAGAAAAAATAACATAAATGGTAAATATTTGACTATTTAACACACAATAGTTAGGTTAAGAAACAGTGCAAGTCTTCCTCAGCTGTAACCTTAAATGTGTGAGAAGAGAGCTGCCTGACCTCACTCACACGGACACATAGTGGTGTTAATGGCCTTTTAATAAACATTAACTCATGTTTCTCTGACAGCATGCCTCCCATCATGGAGAGTCTCACAACTGCCTCATGGATCATCATTTTCACCAGTTAGAACCTGCCGTAAAACAGCTCAGGCTGGCAGACATCTCCTACCAGCAGCACCTCCAATCTCTATTGCTTGGTCTCTAGTGGTATCCACCAGTAGCAGAGCTGGGCTGTTCTGGTGAGAAAATGCTTAGGTATCCTATAGAGAATTCCCCATTTAGTCTCAGGTTTACTAGACTGAATTTCACCATGACAGCCCTCAGTTCCATGCTTCTTGTGTACTAAGATCAATCCTCTCCACCTCTCTTGTCTTTCAAGCTTGATATCTAATCAATTTTACATGACTGATGATGATCAATGTTTATAACCAATAGGAAGAGCATATTCTCCTCTACATCTAGCTCACAAATGCCAATTCAAATTGGGCAAGGATAAACATCAGCTGAGAAGAAGTGCTTGATTTCACTTGAGCAAAGTTAACCTTTTCTTTACATGAAAATATATTTCCTATAGATACCTCTTCACACGAATAGCTTCTTTCCTCTTCAGTTCACTCATTTTCCCAAAGAGATTTGCAAGCCTTGTGAGAGCTCCCACCTAATCTCACATGAACTTGCACCACTGCATGAAAATGTCATTATGCAGCAGAGCCCTCCACCAATCAGAGTGCAACATACCTCCAAGCACAAAGACTCCCTCTACATTTCCACCCATAAGTCCTAATTCTTTTAGAAGACTATGAAGAAATGTGCAATGGAAAAGTGGGAAGGATAGGTGATAACATGTGAGGATATAAGTATCTACCAGAAATACATTTCACAGGTAAGAAGAATGTTAACTTCTGAAATGAATAACACCTTTACACACAGAGTAGCTAGATTACCATGTTTAGATGGTGAAGGGATTGGTGCAAAGATTATCTGGATAAATTCCCTTCAGAAGGAAGTCCATGGGGTGTGTAACCTGATGGAAGATGCTCTAAAGGGCATAACCATGGGAGACAATATCTAGTCTCTTTGCCCATGTTGAATGCAAGAAGCAAAAATGCCATAATTATGTTGCAAAGACAGACAGAATAAGTACAAGGCTTTCTGAGTACTTGTACACAAGCAATCGAACAACCAATATGTGTAGTGAGGTTGGAGCTGATAAAGAATGTATAGTGACTCTTTTTTTTAATGAAATTATTGCAAATTGTATTATAAATACAGAGTAGAGAAAAATAATTTGTCATGTACACCACCACTTATCCGCCAAACTCTACAGGCTGCATGTAAACCATGGGAGTGAGGTGTTTTTATTTTACTTTTCATTACAATGTGGAATGGACTGGTAATAGTGTTCACCTTGATGCTACTGAACAGACTTTGGCTGCAGGAGAAGGATTTGTAAGATAAAAATATATAAAAGGATCAGCTTATTGAGTTGTACCATCAGTCCACTTGAAGATTGTGATGAATCATAGTTATATATGAGAAGTGACCCACACTACACTCTGGTGTAACCCCAGCCCCACTTATCACCATGGAGGGATTTTCCATGGTCCACCACACCAGCAGCTGGGAACTTATAAGTGACAAGGGTTTTCCATACTCCACTCAATGAAATTTGCATAGAGGAGACCTGGAGAATGTGCCCAGATCCCCATCGGTTCTTCAGTCCGGAAAAGTCTTTTACTGAAGACAGTACAATATGCAACCTCAAAACCCTATTTTAAAACATCAGCAAGTACTAGCCAGAGAAGTGGGCAGAAACACTACTCTGGTGCTGGCTTTTTTCCTGATAGTCCATTGAATGGGTATAATCTGAATCAGACATGAAAAGTAACATGAATATGTACAGAAATACCACAAGGAAACCTCAGTAGTCTTGCTGAACACCCCATCTCACAGTGGAGACTTATAGAACCAGGACAGATGGTAATAGCACTTTCTGTTTTCCAACTTGATGCAAGTTTTGGGTAAGTATACCCTGGGAGGCAACACTACCGACCTAGTGGGATCCTACAGTGATTGCAAGGTGAGAAAAAAATTTGTACACACACCTGTCCATAGAGAGAGAGGGTGGATTGGAAAATGGCCATAGGTGGAAATTTAAATTCCATCAGAGAAAAGATAGTCAGATGGGTGAAGACGAGGTATGGGGTAATCCACATGTTGGCCTGTAGAATAACATCAAAGTCAATGAAAAAGAGTAGCATATACCAGATGGATGAGCAGGTGAATCTATCTTGTAAGGGTGGAAGGAGAGAGATCTCAAATAGAGAAGGAGCCCCAAGGAATAAAAGGATGATGATCTGAACCCTAAAAGGAGGAAAATTGTGACAAAAACAATTAATGGCTCAGACAGAACAAAGGAGTCTGTCTGGAACTAAATAATCATAGAATAGGGATATAGAAGAAAAGATGTGACCACCGACCTTTGCTATGGAAGACTAGGGAACAAAGTACTGATCAAGATAAAGAAGAAGGTAAGTGCAGTTTAAGAGAGTTTAGGAGAAAACTATGGCATACACATCTGAACAACAGTGGCCATAGGCAAGTAGGAGGAGGACATATGTGTCCAGGGAGAGATGATACATTGAACAAGTTACCAGCAGTTCGATAAAGTCATGGGCAAGAGCATGGGGAACCACAATGAGATTCCAGTCAGGCAAAGAGAAGGACAGAGGGGTCTGTGGATAAAGAAGGAATGAAAGAGGATAGAAAGAACTGGTGAAGAAATATCCTGTGGCATTGGAAAAAGAAGAGGGCGGTAGAAAACACCACCCAATAATCCATGATGGAAGAAACAGACAAGCCACAATAAATCAGGAATGTGTAAGAGTAGCTAATATGTTACAAAGCAGGTCAGAGGGAAATGGTGATTGGGAGACCAAAAGAGATATGTATGCCATGTAGTGTGGTACACAAAAGAAGAAAAAAGGTAGCAAGAGTGGGACAAAAAAGCAGCTACGTGATTAGAGGGACATGAAGATGAAGGATGTCATGCCCTGATGAAAGAGTAATGTGTGAGATTGGATCAGAAGGTCTTGAATTGACCAGATAATCACCTGTGATTAGACCAACGAGTAACATGTTGGAAGTGAAACAAGATGTTGGGGACAGACAGGACACAAAAATAGGCCAGGGAGTGGGTGAAAGAACAGGATGAGGTACAGGATTGATGAATCGACATTGGGACAAATGGGAAACACAAGGTGTGAGGAAAGATTGATGGCAGGCAGCTGAAGCCCATGATATCAGGTAACCAGGGACACCACCAAAAACCTCTCGATGAAGAAAAGGGGCAAAACGAAGGTCCTGGATAAAGATGGACTTCAGAGAAGAAGGTGACCCTTCTCAAAACATTCCAAAAACAGAGGAACCAGGTAAGAAGAAAAATGGCAGAGAAGGTGTAATGGACCATGGTACTAAAAGGGCGAGATCTAAATTCCCAAGAAAGGTCATCAGGAGAACAGAGAAGGGCTTAAAATATGAGATGAAGAAAAGAGAGGTACCATGGAAAGGTAGCAAGAAAGTCACGATGACATGAAAGGTGAGCACTAGAAAGGGAAACAGCAGATAATGAATCTGACTACCAAACTGGTAAAAGTGATTCCAAAGACAGGGAGTCAAAGAACAGGAAATTGAAATGACTAAATGGGAGAACACACACAGGCAGGGAAAATGAGACATAAAACCACAGAGGCGAAGATGAACCAGAGAAGAAGTGGCCTGTACATAACAAGGGAAGAAGGAAATACAAAGAAATTGTGAGAAAAAGGTTTATGTACAAGTGAATGAGAACAGT